CCTAAAAAAGCCTAGAAAATATCATGAAATCCTCTAAAAACTGAAGTTCTGTAAGTAAAGAAGAAAGGAGAACTAATTTGGGGAATACACAAGCAAGGGGTTTCTGCCATATTTGATGCTTGATCTTAAATCTAAGATGACCAACATGATTTACTCCACTTGTTCCTTCCCTTTGCATAGCATTTTCTCTCCTACCTCTGAATCATTATAACATGTGTGCAACTGTTCTTTCTTGATATTGCCACTGTGACGTTCGTTTCTCTAGTAGATAGATATGCAAACCTCAATCTGTCCAACAATGAACTCTTCTAAAATTTACTCTGTCATCAGTCTCCCTATCACAGATAATGGAGACCCATTATTTTGGCTACTCAACCCAGAAACATTAGAGTCATTCTTGATAATCATACCACCTCCACTGCCAGCCACCTGCTTGGTCCAAGCCGCCATCATCTTTGGCCTGGATGAGTGCTATAGTCTTCTCCAAGCCAAAATGTGTCCCTCTGTCTACCTTTAATCTTCATCAAATTCTATTTCAACATAGCAGCCAAAAAGATCCTTCTTTCTTAATCTCCTATAATGGTTCCTGATCTCACTTACAGTAAAAGCCACATTCCTTATAATGACCAGAAGGCCGTAGGGAAGCTGGACTCTCACTTGCAAATATTCTCTTCTGTCTCATTGTCCACTGATATGTTGGTTGGTTGTTCTCTCATTGGGTTCTTTGTTCCAGTTATTTCCTCTGTTGGGATCATTCTTTCTCTAGATTTGAACAGAGCTAACTTGCCAACTGTCTCCACCTTCAAGTCTTTGTTCAAATCTCCCTCTCCTCCTGCCTACCCTACAAGACTCTGCCCCAGACTCGAGTCTGTTTGCCTTTCTTTTCATATGCTTGCCATCTTCTTTTTTTCTTCTTCTTCCTTCTTTGTTAAAAAAAAATATGGAACACTTCACAAATTTTTGTGTCATCCTTGCGCAGGGACCATGCTAATCTTCTGTGTATCGTTCCAATCTTAGTGAGCCAAAGTGAGCACCACTTACCATCTTCTAACGTGCTATACTGTAGTTAGCATCAAAGTATTATTAGCTGTAGCAGTTACTGTCTAGTTCTCTCCTCCCTTCTACCCTCACTTCTTGCCTGTTTGTTACGGATGATTTCCAAGCATCTTATGGTGCCCAAAACAGAGCAAATGCTCCATGTGGTTGTTAGACTGATTCAAGTCATTTATTTGGTTACTTTTTTAGCACATTTCTAGGAAGCACTTATTCCCGGCAATGCATGGAGTGGAATTCAGTTGTACAATCTATTGTCTCTGATTGTGTACCAGCAGCCACACCCACTCAATTTCCTCACAATCTCTTGGTGCTCATCTCCAAATATGGTTTCACTAGCAAATTTCCCGAGTACCCGTTTATTCTCATTTAGTAACATTACTAATGAAGATGTTAAGTCAGACTGGCACACATAATGGTGCTCAAGGCGATCCCACAGACACTTTTGTTCCACTCAGCAGTGATGTAGAATTCTTTATCATTAGGTCTTGTTACAGTTTTCGGGCCTCTTGAAAAAGAAAACAAGAAAGAGGGAGCTCGAGTCTGCATTTATTTTAATTAGTCTTGCAAGTGAACTCTCATGAGTGATGGAATTAAACGTCCTTGCAGGACAGAGCATCTGTTACATCACACTAACTTATCATTCTCTGCTCCTATGAGTCTTTACAATCAAAACAAATTAGTCTAACATATTATTGTTAATAAACATTCTCTTTTGTTTTATGTGGCTCATACCCAAAAGGAGATAGTAGACCAGTTGCTCAAAGTCATGAAATCTTATCACCAGTTCAAACACGGCCAAGTGATGAATACAGAATAATGAATCCTCAACAATGGGGGAATGCAGAGTATATTGCATTGGCTTTGCAGAGGGTTGAATATAAGAGTCTATAAAGAGGTCTGGATGTAAGAGTTAGTCCTTATGAAACTTATTATACAAAGTCCTGGAGTAGAAATCATTGTCTAGTTTTCTCTCTCACGTTGTTGTTGAACCAGAACTAATTCATAGCAGCTGACCTTCCAACGGGTCAGTCCCATAAGGACAAATACTGCCTAACAACATTATTATAAAAATAGAAAGATACTAGTAAGATGTGTACAAAAGTCCAAAGAGGGGAAGAAGAGAGAGGAGGAGTATTGAGGTGGGAAGGAAATATCAAGGTCGTGGAGTGTGGTGGGCAGAGCGAAGGGGTGAGGAATTAGAAAAGATCCTGTGAGGATCTGAAAAGGTGAGGCAATGGTGTATATGTAACAGTGTGTATGGACCAATGGTGATTAATTTTATAAATATATGGGACTGATAATGTGAAATTCAGTGTGAATGGAGGAATGCATGAAACAAACATATAAATGGAACACAATATATGCGGCTTATGTATGCAAACCAATATAAAATAAAAGTTTAAAAAAAATAAGAATAGCAGTTCAAAGAGGCAGTGAGCATGGTGGAGGTTTCCACAAGGAAACAAATATCAAGACTCTTGAACAAGGAAACAACCACAGAGTTGGTCTCAGACCTAATAAGCTAAATCTTTGTATACAGGCCCAGAAGATTTTTAAGAGTCATTCCTATAGCAATGGTTTTCAAATGTTAGTTTGTGTACAAATGAATCACCTCAGAACTATTGTATCAAAAGGGCATGCATGCACTAGGAGCTCTGCTGGCCTAGTGGCAAGAAGCTGTGCTGCAATCCCAAAGGTGTGCGGTTTGAATACCCCATATGCTCTACTAGATAAGGAGGGGAAATCTTCTCCTGTGCTGGTTGGATCTGATTTGATGGCACACAAGGGAAAATAAATAATTTTTTTAAAAAAAGAAGTGCATGCACCAGGACCCAGGAATCTGAATGTGCCACCAATTGCCCCAGAGATTCAGATGCAGAATTAATGTTTTTCATTATTTTTTAATCAGCATTGAAAAGCAATGGTCAGTGCAGTGGATCAAATCAGAGTTGTGAGGTCTGTCTCTGCTTCATTTATTAGACTAACGTTAGAGGATGGTATGAAGAGCCCTGTTGTTGAACTGCCATCCCATCAAGTCTGCCTGAAGCTCATGTGGTAACTCTGTGCCCAGTGGAATAAAAGACTGCCCCAGCCTGAGTCTGTTCCTGAGATGGTCTTTAAATTCTGGTGGCATAGACTCGACGTCAAACTTTGATTCTTGTGGATTTGATTTTATTTTCTCTAGCTGCTTCTTCAGTTCAAACTTGCATATGAGCAGTTAATGGTCTGTTCCACAATCACCACCTGGCTTAGTTTTCACAGCTGTTACTGAGCTTCTCCAATAATTTTTCCCACAGATGTAGTCAATCTGATTCTGTGTATACCATCAGATGAAGTCCATGTGTATAGTCACCATTTATGTTTCTTATAAAAGGTGTTTGTAATGAATAGGTTTGTACAGAATTTTACAGAATTCTATCATTCTGTCTCCAGTCTCATCTCTGTCATAAAGCCCATACTTTCTGGCTACTGACTCTTCTCTGTTCTCAACGTTTACATTTTCTATCACCCATTATTATCAAGGAATCTTGGTTGCATAGTCAATTTATTTCTGGCTCCAAAAAGTTGCTAGAAATGATCTATTTCCTCCTCTTTAGCCATTCAATGTGGATTGAATCTCAGCATCAAGAAAACAAAGATTCTCACCACTGGGTTGGTAGAGTTCTGAAAAGCAACAATGTCAGTCTGGAGACTAAGGTGCACCTGATCCATCTCATAGTCTTTGCAATTACATGCTCTGCATCTAAGAGCTATACAGTAACTAAGGATGATAGAAGAAAGATCAATGCCTTTGAGCTGTGGTGCTTGAGAAGAATGTTGAATATATACCATGGACTGCTAAAAGAATAAACAGTTCTGTCCAGGAGAGGATTACCAGGCTATTCCCTGGAGGCAAGGATTTTGAGGCTCTGTCTTACATACCCTGGACATGTGACCAGGAGAGACCATCATACTTGGAAGGGTAGAGGGACAGCGCAGGACAGGAAGATCCAGGATGAGATAGATTGACTCAGTGGCTGGAAAAAATGGGATTAGGTCTGTCGGAGACAATGAGATTGGCTCAGGATAGGGCAGAGTTTGGAATTAGTATACATAGGGTTGCTAAGAGTTGTGGTGACTCAGTGGCACATAACAACCACAACAACAATCCTGAGCCATCCTCATCCCTAGCTGTGGATCCACTGCTGTGATCTATATAGCTTTTCTTGGCTGATATTCAGAAGGAGGAAACCAGGCCTTTATTCCTAGTCTATTATAGTCTGAAAACTTCACTGACATCTGTATAGCATCATCTCCCTCTCTCTCTCTCATTGCCATTGAGTCTAAACCGACTAGTAGCTGATCCTCCAGTGAGTTTTCAGAGACTGTGCACTATACAAGGAGATTGCCTATCTATCTCCCATAGAGCAGCTGGTGGATTCAAATCACCTGCCTTTGGATTGGCAGCACAACTCTTTACCCTCTAGGCCACCAGAGCTCCTAGGGAAAGAAAGCCTCCATTAACAGATAGGTTTTAGCCATTCATGAGGTGCAATGACCAAGAATTAAACCAGTTTTCCAAAAGGAAAGGGAGAGTCTACCAGAGAACCACGGCATCCCCTGTTCTGAATATATCCCCATACTATTCAGAGTCACCTAGTTCTACCTTTAATCTTTCTTTCATCTATATTTAGTGTGACCTCTTTAGCCTACTGAAAACAAGAGTAGAGGTGCTAATGAATGGCTTTGAACTCATGCCACCAAGGGTCTTGCAACTACCGCACTGTCACAACAGCCTTGAAAACTGGTTATCTGGTTATTTTTTGTGTGTGTTTCTTTTCTGGTCCAGCTCTGTGCTATTTGGTACGAAATGGCACCCAAGGGCCTCATGGAGCTGAGGGCAGCACGCAAGATCAGACCCTGGCTTCTTTGTCATTTATAGGTTTTGTTTTCTTTCTTCCTAGAATATGTCTGTGCTGGAGAATCATCACTGGCGATCTACCATTGGCATGCTTCGAGAGTCAAGGCTTCTCGCTCACTTGCCAAAGGAAATGACGTAAGTGCCGTGGAGATGAGACATACTGAAGCCCACATGCTGAAGATAAGCTGCTTTCTCAGGGGCACATTTGAGAACCCCAGAGTTAATGGCAGGGGGCTAGCAGGCTCTGCTTCCTCCCTACATTTCACCACCTATTTGAGAGATTCTGAGTGTCAGTTCCATCA